ACAAGCACTGCCAAGAGCACAAGCACTGCCAAGAGCACAAGCACTGCTAAGAGCACAAGCACTGCTAAGAGCACAAGCACTGCCAAGAGCACAAGCAAGAGCACCAGCACTACGAAAAGCACCAGCACCAGCACAAAGCCAGCCAGCACTTGCACGCCATCTTCAACGGCCATCGTGAATCCCAAAGTTCCTACAGGACTCACTTGCAAGAAGTCGGTTAACCAAGCAAATGTAAATACTACCTTTAATGTTGGTAAGGCTACCACAGTAAATAATGTCAGCCTCTGTGCTACCAGCTGTCTTAAGAACCCCAACTGCGCGAGTTTTACATATAGCGGCAGCAAAGTGTGCCAGCTATACAACAAAGCTGTCAAGAGTTTGGGGGTGACAACTAAGAAGAGCCAACCCCAGCTGACATTTTATGACAAGGGGTGCTTTGTATACAACACATGTCCGAAATAGACGACGAGACATATCCTGTAACATTCTTAAACGAAAACCCGCTTTATTATAGTTATATTATAATTATATAATGAATAATATTCACTTTTAGAACCTATACCGCTATTCATCAATATCATTAATTAAATCCTTTCATCTATCCACCTCCTCTTTTGGACTTTATCTCATTAATCTATTGTCTTATTAATCGTGGCGCGCATAAGATGTTAGTGTCGTAGTATATATATTACCCTATAGAACACGAATTATCTCAAATTCGAATTGAGCTGCTTTCGCTTTCGCCGCAAACGTCAAACTTCGGATATTACCTGTAGCGCTATAGCATATACATAGAACATAAAGAAGATATTTAATCATTTATAGGGTATATATATGAGGTTGGTTAAGCAGTTAAATCTGGCATTATCGTAGCTAAAAGTTCACATACACGATAGCTTCTATACACCTGTGCGACCTCTCCATTCATTAACACGGAATATCCAATCGTGAACAAGCGCTTCGAAAACACCAGTCTCATCTATAGGAAGGCCATGAGTACCACGATCCAGAACAGCATATGTTGATCGAGGATAAAGCTCCAGGAGGCGGATACTGTCTCGGTAACCCACGACTTCGTCCTGCCGACCACATATAATAAGGGTGGTGGGGGCGAGAAACTTGGCGTTTTTATCGTTCAAAGAGTTAGATAACTCATATCGCTGCGGATCTTCTCGTATCGGGTCCAGCGCTTTTTTATCTGCTGCTCTCTCTGCCGGAAGGTAAACCTTCTCATATTTTGCCTTTAAGGTCTTGATGTAAGCAGGTGTTTGAACAAGAACATTGCCAAGAAGGTTCTTGTCTTCAGTTGGCACATTTGACATGAGTTCCTTGTTTTCTACCAAAGGGGTGTAAGGATCAAGATCTCGCATGCTATCTTTGGGTTCAATAAGCGGTACACGTAGTAGTAAGCCATCGACTTGATCGCGATATTTTTGAGCTATGGCACGTGCAAGATAGCCGCCACATGAGGTACCGATAAGAACGAATCTTAACTTCTGGAGCCGAGAATCAATGAAATGTACTAAGCGAAGATATATATCGTCGAGATCTGTGACATTATCGGCAGGTGTGGCGCCCATGCCTGGAAGATCCACGTAAATTCGGAGAAGTCCTGGTGTTTTACAAAAGATTGGCTCAAAATCTAGCTCTTCGACTTTTCCTTCCGCCTGCCATCCGTGAATAATTAGGACGGGAAAGCCTTGTCCGAGCTCATATGCAGATAAAATAGAGGTCATGTTGCATTTGGGGTAATATTATAGTAATATAAAGAGCAAGAACCGCAAGAGGGTTTTATTTCGTTAACATGCAATTTTGTAACAAATAGCGCAATGCCACATAACTTTATTGTAAGAATTTGGAGGCATAAGTATTGTTTGTCAAGTAAGATTATTTATTCATTCTGTTCTCCTTTAGGGGGAGGTGATTATAAGAAATATACATTTATAAATAAGTAAATAAATATAGGTACTAAAATTAAAATAAAACTGCTATTATTTAAAATATACATAAATATTATTATTTAACAATAAAAGCTGTAATTTAAGGGATATATACTCTAATTAAGTAAAATCCACGCCGTGGTTAGTAAATAAGAGCTATAACATAAAGGATAAGTACTATAGTTTAGCGGATGAGTACTGTAGTTTAGCGGATAAGCGCTGTAATATAATGCTGCAAGTTATTGTTACAACCCGCCTCTTATAGTTGCAACAATGGGCCTATAGGGTAGGCTAAACCGGATTAACATAGGACCGACCTACTAATTATAATAAATTATTAGATTATTATAATAATCTAATAATCTATAAATAAATTATTAATTTTATAAAATAATTTATAATAAATTATTAAAATCTATAAATAATTTAACTTAATTAATTAAATATATAAGTTTATTTTTTATATTTATTTAAATAACTTAAATAGCTAGTTATTAATATAATTTTATATTTATAAATTAAAAAGCATTTTTAATCTTTACTAGTAATTATTATTATAATATTATTGCCTATAGGTTTTTTAATTTATTTACTAATATAAACCTAAAGAATTTATTTTAGGTTTATTTTTTAAAAATTTACTTTATATTAATTATTTAATATATAATTTATTATATATTAATAACTTTTATTTAAATAGTTATTAAATCTATAGGTAATATTAAAATAAATAATTTTTAAAACTTTATTAAATTTATAAATTAATTTAATATAAAAAAGTAAATATAATAATAAATGCTTTTATTAAATCTATAGAATTTTATAAATTATTTAACTATTTTTAAATAATTAATTTAATAATTAAAAGTATAAAAAATTAATAATATATAAAATATTAATATTTTATAATAATAGCTTATTATACTTTATAACCTATTAATAATACTATTAGCTATAGCACCTGCTGTAGTTATATTTATTATATAACCTATTAAAGTAATTAAAAAATAACTTAAAAAAATCCTTAGGTTTTTTTACTTTAATAAATTTAATAAAGATTTAATTAAATTATATAAGTTTTTTAATAATTTTTAAATTTATTTTAAATATTATTTTTTAAATTCCTTTATATTTATTAAATTATTTAAATATATTTAATATATAAAAACTTAAATAAATAAAGCAGTAGAAAATTAAATTAAAGTAATTTTAAAAGATTATTAAGAAAATGCTTTTAATAAATAAAAAACTTAAACTATAGTTATTTTTATTAATTATAATAACTTTAAAGAAAAACTAAAGAAATTATTTAAAATTATTAATAAAACTTAAAAAATTAAAAAAAAACTTAAAGATTTTAAATAAAAAAAACTATATTATTAATATACTTTAATATTTCTTTAATTATTTACTAAGGTAAATTAAATTAAAGATTTAAAAAAAAATCTATTATTATAGTTTAAAACCTAAAGTTAAAGATAAAATTTATAAAATAAATTAATAAAAAATTAATTTTATTAACTTTACTTAAAAAGCTATTAAAATTAATAATTAATAATAAAAAAAAATAAAAATAAAAAGCTAAAAAAAATAATACTATAATTAAGCTTTATTTATAAGTTAATTAAAAAAAAATAAATAAATATATTATTAAAAATAATAAAACTTAATTAAGTAAAATAAACTTTAATATTATTAAAGCTATTAAATTTAAAAGAAAATATAATTTTTATAATAAAATAAACTATAAAAAAGCTTATTATTATTTTAAAAAAAAATAAAAAAAAAGTAAAAAAAGTTTTAAATAAAAAAATAAAATAATAATTAATATTATAAAAAAAAATATATAAATAAATATTATTATTAAAATATTTTATACTAGCTTTAGTTAAACTGCCTGCTATAATAATATATGCTTTATATATAAAAGTAATAAAAATAAATTAAAGTATTATTTAAAAAAGTTAAAAAAAGTAAAAAATTAAAAAAAAGTTAAAATTAATACTTTAATTTATTATAAATTATTTAATAATAAAGGTTTAGACTTTAATATAAAATTAATTTATAAATACTATAGATTTATTAACTTTATTTATAAATATAATAAAAAATAAATAATAATTTAAAAAAAATACTTTAATTATAATAATTATTATTTATATAACCTTAATTATAAATATTAAAGATATTTAAACTATAGATTTATAAAAGGATATTAATATAGTTATAAAAGTAAATAGCAGTAAAATATAAAAGCTATATATAAACTCTTTAAAAAAGAAAATAAATTAATTAAAAAATACTTTAAAAAATAAAAAAAAATATAATTTAAAAAAAAAATAAAAACTTTTAAATAAAAAAGCTAGTAAAGATAAAATTATCTATAATAAAAGTAAAAGAATTTATAAATATAGTTTTTATATAGTTAATAGAAAATATTAATAATAAATTAATACCCTTTTAGATATATACCTTTTTATAAAATATAAAATTACTTTTAAAAATATATATAATAGTAATAATATTAATAATAATAAATATTATTAATATAGTTTCCAGGAACTATAATATAATAAAGCTTATTTAAAGTTTAATAAAAAAATATATAAATACCTATAATATTATTTATAAAATATAAACTACTATTATAAAAAACCTTAAAAATTAAATAAATTAGTTTTATTTTATATATATTAATATAACTTTTATTACTCTTAAGACTTTAATTATAACTATATAAAATATAATATTTATAAATTAATAAATAAAGAATATAACTATATAAATATTTTAGAAGTATAGGCAGAGGAAGAAAAAAAATAAAAGAAAAGATAATAATACTTTAAAGAATATTTATTTTAAAAAATTAGCTTAAAATAAGCATAAAAATAAATAAAAGCTATTAAATAAAACCTAAAGAATGCCTATAACTATATTTTAATTTATAATATTTTTAATGCTTTTAATAAAAATTATAAAAAATATTATTAAAAGAAATATAATAATATATATTATTAAATATATATATTTAATAAATTAATAAATTAATAAAGTAAATAATTAAAAAAAATTAAAATAAAAAATTATTTAATAAATTATTTTTTAAATTATAATATATAATATTATAGAAAATACTATAAAGAAAAATATTAGTTTTATTAAATAATTTAAAAGCTTTTATAAAGAAACTATAACTTTAATAATTATTTAAATAAAAAATAAAACAATAAAACTTTAATTAAAAAGTATTATTAAATAATTAAAGTATAAAATAATTAAATTAAATATTAATAATATAAAAAATATTAATTTAAAATATAATAAAAAAGCCTTTTAAATATAATTATTATTAATTTAATTAAAATATTTAAAAAAAAGTTAATATTTAATAAATATTTAAATTAATAATTAATTAAAATTTATATAAATAATAGTTTAAATTATAACTTAATTATTAATAGCTTAATAAACTAGCTTAAAATATTATATATTATTAAAAA